CGCCAGGAGCGTGCAGCTCCATCCTCGGGGCCCGGTGTTATATGAGGGCTTTCTTGTCCCTGATGGCCCAGGTATCTACTCGGTCTGCTCTGGGCCTCTTGCGGGCATGTTCATCCTCTTCCTCCGCCTCAGCTCTCGCCTCGAGTCTCACTTGCGCTGGGGCTACACTCTTGCATGTTATGGTCGTTCTGCTTCTCTAACCTCTCAGTGGCTCGCTGGCAGCGCTTGGGATGGCGGGGCTCGCGCGCCTCGCCCCCCCCCCCCCCCCCTCCCCCCACGAGGGCCCTGCGTCCATGGCGCCCGGAAATATGGGTCAAACTGCCAGATATTCGAACATCGTATCAACCATCTTTCTGGCTGCGGTGCGTCGCGCGTTCGCCGCGTCTCCGTCTCCCGGGGGTCTAGCGATGGGCGCGGCGACGCGAGTCTTCGCTTCGCGGCCCGCTGCGTCGGGAACGGTTTGCCGCGGTGACCCCTGCGAGGCAGTAACTTCCTCAATTGCCCACCTTCGTCCTCGCATCCTGTCCTCTTGAACTCATTGGCTTCAACGGCGCCGTGCGCCGTTCTGTGATCAGGTCTCTCTGACTGAATCAATGCCGATAAAGACCCCGCCCGCTTCTCCGCTTGGGCTCTAACTTGCCGCCCTGCTTCCTGGGCGAAGCCGCGCGAAACGTAGAAAATTTCCCGAAGTCGGGCAACTGCCCGTTAAACTTTCCGCCGCTGCACCCCTCTTTGGCCGCCCTTCCGTCGGCGCGACTTGCGGGCCCGCGCGCGACGGAGAATGCGCGCGACGCGAACCGTGGTATGAACGCGCGATTGTCACCAGAAGCAGTTGTGAAGTTATTGTCAGAGTGAGGGGGCCGAGCGGTCATTCACGGCCCCTGGGCGCGTGCCTGAGGTGAGAATCCGCGGCGAAGATTATGCTTGTTGGGTTGTTGTTGTTGTTGTTGCTTGTAGTCGCGCCCCCCGCGGCCCGCCCGCGCCCCGCCCCGCGCCCCGCCCCGCGACCCCTCCGCGACGCGCCCGCGACCCTGCCCGCGACCCGCCCGCGACCCGCCCCGCGGCCCGCCCGCGACCCGCCAGCCACCCGCGCAGCGACCCACCCGCGACCCATCCCGCGACCCATCCGCGACCCGCCCGCGACCCACCCGCGACCCACTTGCGACCCGCCCGCGACCCGCCCCGCGACCCACCCGCGACCCGCCCCGCGACCCATGCGCGACCCACCCGCGACCCGCCCGCGATCCACTCACGACCGATCCACATTGGTTTGAAGAAAAAATCGGCGCCTGCGGCGGGCTCGACGCATAATTTGCGAAACCGTGGCGCCTGCGGCTGGCTTCTCCAGGGCCCCGCAGACTGACTGCCGACGCCCCCGCCGCCCCCTCGCTCTTATCCGCATCTGCGGGGCGCCACGGTTTAACGCGCTCTCCGTGGTTTCGTGCTGCCCCTGCGCTGTCTCCGGCCAGGCAGACCCCCGCCCCGTGCCCAGGTCAAATGGCGGCTCAACTGGGCCCATGAAGGCGATTGGCGCCGGTTCAAGATCGCCCCCGACGATAATTTTTCCCTGGCCGGCGAAAATAATCACGCCACTCGTCGCTTCAACTGAGTTTGGGCCCGCTCATTCCTTGAATGCACCCTTGTTCCATGTTGGTTCTACGCCGCGGCAGCTCATCGCTTGCGCGGGGGTGCCTTCTCTTCGTTTTCGCCGTCTCCGAAATTCAAATGTGGTAGACTGAATCAATGGGCGCGTGTCCTCTCGCCTCCTTTCGCGCCGTTCGGCGGCCGCGCCTCCCGGCCGCGCCCCCGGCGCGACGGGGGCGCCGACGTCAGACGGGGAAGTGAGTTGTTCGGCGCAACCCCACTCCTTGAACACTTGGTCTCGCTTCGCAGAGTATCTCCCCTGGTAACGCCGCCCCCTCGCCACCCTGCAAAGACGCCCATCGCCCCGCTCGGCCCGCTGCCCCCGTCGCCCCCGCCGCGGGCTCCATTGCGCAATCCCAGGAACAATTGCTGTCTGCATGGGACTTACAGGTTGGTGAGAATATAATAAAACTGGCCCTCGGAATAGAACTGGCCCTCGGAATGGAGCGCGCCCCCGCTAACTTCCAGCGCTCGGTTACTCTGATCCCCGCCCCCCGCTTGCCCGGGCGCCTTGGCGTTGAATTGGGGCGCCCCCCCTCTCCTTGACAAATGTCCTGCGCCCGCTCGCTTCGCGCCCCGAGAAACTGCGGCGCCTTCCGCGCTCGTCTCTGTCCGGCTTAATTTGGCCACAAGGTGTCGAAAAGCTCTCTGGCCGACCCAAGTGCCGCGCTGGCGCCCGCAACTTGCGCGAGCGCGGCAACCTCGGCGGCGTCTTCGATTTTGCCCCTGGCCCCTCTCTGGTTGCATCTGAGCATGACGGGCCCGTCGGCGGCGCCGCGGCGCTTGCCCAGCCGGGGGCCATCGGCCTGTCTATCAGGGAGAGCACGGGCCCACCTGCTGTGGCCCCGCAATGTTATAGGCACCCGAATTTCATGCAAACGCAACAAGTTCGAACCCGCTCCATTCACTGCACTTCCGCGCGCTTTTCGAGCCAGCCCCCCTCCTGCTCGATGCGCTTCGTGGCCCTGGCGTCGAAGCCAGCATGGCGCGCGCTGTTCTCTCGGCGCTCGTGCTGGTAACTGCTCGCTGAAGTGCGCCCTCCTAATTAGTGTCGTTTCTTCCTCGGCGGTTCTGCTCTTGCCATTCGTCGGCGCTGCAGGGGGGGGGGGGGGGGGGCGCGCTTTTCCCCTGCCAGGAAGCTCCTCAGGCTCCACGCCCTTGCATTGCGGAACTGGGGATGCCTCGGCGGGATGTTCGGAGCCGTCGACCTCTCTTGTCCGCTTCGGGGTTGCACGATTCGCGCCCTTCCTCTTGGGGCAGTCGGCCGCAACGCGCCCCCCGTCCACGCGGGCGCAAAGCCGCCTCTCGGAGGCTGGAGCGACACGCCCTAAGCCCCCTCGTCATCCACCTCTCCCTTGCCGCCCCCCTCGCGTCCGCGACCTCCTTGGCACTTGGGGCGCTGGCAGCGCGCGATGCGGCTGCGTCCTTTGTGACTGCTTGTTCACTTACCTTTGCCTTTAACTCAATAGTTGACAGCGACGTGCCCGAGTCCGCCACACTTGAAACGCGCGGGGCATGTTCCTTTGCCTTCTCCACTGGCGGCGGCATTCATACTCCGCCAACCATCGTCCTGCATGTTCTCCTGGCCCCACTGGCGCCGCAGTTCGCTCGGCCAACAGTGGCCGTGGTCGCCGAAGTATTGGTCGTCGGTGCCGATTTCCATGGCGCCATTGCCCTGCGCGCCCGCGCCGCGCCTCTTCGTCTGGGCCCAAATCTCGAATTCCACACGCAATTCCTGATTGCTCCCCTTTGTTAGCGAGTCGGGAGATGCGAAATAGTCATGATGTCAATCTTCGAGCCGATCACTAACGTGCGACATGATGGTCCGTGACGCGCTGATGCGGAACGGCAGGTTCAACGAGCGCGCTGGCCCGTGCTTCTCCAACGTTTTCATGCCGCCGTCCATTGCTCTATATGCCTCGATATTTCTGAGCTTGTTCGGGCCTGTGGCCAAGATCATCTAGGCTGGAAGGATAACGCCGGCAACTGCCGAAAACAATTTTCCTGGTACGCCTGTGATCCATCTCTTGCGCGTAACCGCAACCCCCTTTCGACTGTCCTCGCCGCCCTGTCCCGTCGAGCGTTTCGTTGAGGGTGCACCGCAGGTCCTCATCTAGCTTGTTCGTTTGATCGCTAGCAAGCTCAAATTCACCGTTGTCGTCATCATCTTATTGTTCGACCACTGCGCTTCTGTGTATTCAGCCGCCGTTTACCGACCGCTGCGCATCCTCGCCATGTCGTCTCCATTCTCGTCTAACACACCGTCCATTGTCTTCAATTTGTTGTTCTGGTTCTTGGGTGCCTCGCGGTGGCTCTGAATGACCCGTGCACTGGCGTTAAAGAGCTTCTCGCTCCATGCGCTGGATTTGCCTCAATCACCAACGAGTGTCTTTAACTGCTGCATGGCGTTGTAGTCGCTCACCAATTTGGTACCCTGATGCGCCAGTTTTTGTTTGCTCTCCGCTATGCACTCCGCTATCCATTCAACGTTGTCACATGTGTTCTCCTGTGCGTCCACTGGATCTTCTAAATTTTATTATAACTTTCCCTTGAATGTGTTCGACTCGTTTTCGGCGTACACATTCCTATTCGCCAAGCGTAGCAACAGCGAGTTCATCTTCTGGGGCATGAGCAGTAGGCCGACGCTCTCTTCACTGGTCACCGTTCTCATCCCAGCGGCAGCTTGTCGTTCAATGGACTCTTTCATGGCTTCATGGTTGGCTCGCAACGCGACGCTCACGTAACTGTAGCCCCCATTATAGAAGGCAGCCTCGCACAGTTCCGTGACCCGGGACGGATTCAGGTTGAACCACGTGGGCGTGTTCAACTCACGCCCTGGGTCTCCTGGCCCTACAGCGGCCGCGGCAGCGACAACGCCCGCCAATGCTCGCAAGTTGACCTCGCCCCAGCCATGTAAATCCTCTGGGAGATTCGGCACGGAAGCGCTAACTCAGACAGATACGCTCGACACGAACGTTGACGACAACTACTTGGGCCAAGCGGCGTCGATCGCGACGCACGCTCGGTAACAATAGTGCGACTATCCTGTCCCAATCACCCTTGTTATAAGTAACACCCTCTCCTCCTCTTCCTCCTCCTCCGTCACCCTCCTCCGTCGCTGTCCTCTTCCTCCTCCTCCTCCTCCTCCTGTTTCCCCCCCTCCATCGTCAACCTCCTCCCTGCCTCCTCCTCCTCCTCCTCCTCCTCCTCCTCCGTCACCTTCTCTCCCTCCTCCTCCTCCTCCTCCTCCGCCTCCGTCAGCCCCTCCCCCTGCAGGACGGCCGCAGCCCCTCGGACCCCCCGCGCGCGCGCGGCACCCCGAAGGCGGGGCGCCGAGAGACAGAGGGGGCCCACGCCTTCGAGAAGCAACGGGGTTCCGTCGGCCTCGTCGGCGCAATGGGGGGGGGATGTGGCGGCCAGGGGAGGCCTCCTCCTCCTTCTCCTCCTCCTCTCGCTCCTGCTCCTCTCGTTCCTACTCCTCCTCTCTTTCCTGCTCCTCCACCCTCTTCACTCCTCCTCTTCCTCCCCTTCCTGCTGCTCCTTCTTTTCCTGCCCTTGCTCCTCCTGCTCCTCCTTCTCCTCCTCATCATCTTCGCAGGTCCCTCTTTGCTCCTCTTCCTCCTCCTTATCCTCCTCCTCCTCATTCTTCTCTTCCTCCTCCCCCCCTCCTCTTCGCAGTTTCCTCTTCGCTCCTCCTCCTCCTCCTCCTCCTCCTCCTCCTCCTCCTCCTCAACATCACCATCATCATCATCATCATCATCATCATCATCATCATCATCATCATCACCATCATCATCATCATCATCATCATCATCATCAGTATCATAATATTCATCATCAGCATCATCATCATCGTCATCATCACCACCACCACCGTCATCACCACCACCACCACCACAACCAATAATCGTCATCATCATCAACAGCACACCATCATCGTCGACATAATCAACATCATCATCATCATCGTTCCCACCCGCATCATCAACATCAACACCATCATGATTATCATCATCATCATCATCATCATCATCATCCGCAGCAGCATCATCATCGTCATCGGCATCATCATCACCATCGGCAGCACCAGCATCATCATCAGCGTCAGCCTCATCATCATCATCAGCCACAGCATCACCACTATCACCACAATCAACATCACCATCACAACTGTCATCACCACCATCATGATCACCATCACTATCAACTAGCATGTTCATCCTCATCGCCATCATCAGTATCGTTTTTGCCATCATCATCGTCATCGTCATACGCATCATCATCATCATCACCATCATTATCATCAGCATTATCGTTTTCACCATCAAAACCATCATCGCCGTCACCACCATCATCCTCATCCTCACCACCTTCATCACCACCATCATCAGCATCAGGATCAGCATCCACATTATCATAATTATCATCCTACGCAACATCATCAACATCATCAACATCATCAACAGCATCAGCATGCGCATCAGCATCAGCATCCCCGCGAGCAGCATCATTCTCATCATCCTCACCATCATCATCCTCATGACCATCCTCATAATTTTCATCATCATCCACATGACCGTCTTCTGTCCTCCTCATCATCACCATCATGATCATCCTCATCCGCATCCTCATCACCATCGCTCCTCATCCTCCTCTGCCCCCTCCTCCTAAGGTGCTCCTCTCTTTGCTGGACAAGTGAGCGACCAAGGAGGCGACGGTCTTTTGCTTTCTTCCCCAGCACCACGGCGAGACGACGGTCAGCTCGGGCTGGACGAAACGGGAGGGGTTAGCGAATCGGCTGCACGCTTCTGTTTGTCAGGACGTTCTGTGGTGCTGGGCCCTCGTTTTTAAGCGACAGCGCCTGGCGCCCTCCTTCCTCCGCCGCCCCCCTCCTCGCATCCCTGCCTCTGCCCTCCGCATGTAAATCGTTTCGGCACACCCCTCACGCGTTTTGTGGCCCGATGGGGAGCTCTACACAAGGCCCAAGTGGTAGCGCCCGCATGGCACCGCCGCGCCCGTTTCGGCACACCCCTCGCACGTTTCGTGACTGCATAGGGACCTCCACAGAAGGCCCGCATGGCAACGCCCGCATGGCAACGCCACGCCCATCTCGGCACACCATGCCACGTTTGGCGGCCCCACATGTAGCTCCACCGAAGGCCTTTGTGGCAGCGCCAGCAAGGCACCGCCGCGCCCATATTTCTGCACACTCCTCACACGTTTCCTAGCCCCGTTGGGAGGAGCTCCACCGAAGACGGTACTCACAACCGCGGTCCTCACACCTGCCAGAGAGGAGGACAAAGTGGATTGGGCAAACCGAGGAAGGCGGACAAAGCGGATTGGGTCCAGGCCCTCCCAGAGAACAGCACAACACAGCAAAACACAGCAAAAACATGTCGATTATTGAGGTAGGAAGGCGCGTGAAGTAGATTGGGATCTGGGAATCCAGAAATACATACTTTCAACGACCGGCGTGTAAGGATGCAAGGGCCTGGGACGTCCATTTTGAAGCTCCTCGAGCGGGGCGCGGTCGACGAGAGTGGCCAAGGATGGGCCGAGGAGGCAAGGATGCAAAGGTACCCTTTGGAAGGTTGCCCACCCTCAGTAACCATGCGGGTTGACTGTATTGACGATGAGTGGGCGATTGGGGGTCGATAGATCCCTGCCCTGAGCCTATCTAGAAGCCTCCTGAGTGGGGTTCGAGCAGATAGTGTCGGAGGATCGCGCCGCATCGACGATAAATCGGCGACGTCGGCGATGCATGGCGACGTCGACATGAGCAAACCAGGATCCACACCGAACCGCATCGGCGATGTGTCGGCGATGCGGCGCGACTCTTCGACCGCATCTGCTCGGACCCCACTTGGGAGGCCTAGACGTTGATTACCCCCCGCCACCGAGATCGTGCCCTCAGGGCCCCATCTGTGGCAACTCGTGGGAGCCTTCCATATCGTCATATCGTCTTGCTGGCTCTTGCGAATCGACGCTCAACGACGCTAATCGATGCAAAATCAGCGGTTCACCATCGACAACCCAAACGCTAGCGCGCTACATCACGCTAGTGCACTTCAATGACGGCGTTTCGAGGACATGCAGGGCTCCCATGAACTGCTGCCGAAGGGCCCCCTCCCTCAGAGTCCCACCTTGGAGGCGGCCAGGGTGTCTGAACTGGGTAGGCCCCGGGAGAATCAGTCAAGACGGGGGCAGAACGGCAACTACACTCAAAATCGGTCCCCGGACCTCTCCTGGGGTCTTTCTGGTGCGGTTTCTCACCCTGGACTAGTTTTTGACGGTCACGGGCCCCAGAAACGGCACCCTGAGGTCGAAACAAAAAAACGCCCTCGAACTCGAGCCTCTGCTCGCCCTTCTCCCTCGCTGGAACCCGTGCCGGGCCAACTCAGACCCCCAACCAGCTCCGAGCCCTACCTCTGCTCCGCTGGCCAGCCTTCAGCAACGAGAGACCCCGCCCTCGAGCAGGGGCCGACCGTCCCGGCATTCCTATTAGGCCTACCACGAAATGTTCGTAGAACCCCAAAATGTTCGAATAACAAGAACACAAGCAATGTTCTTAGAACATAAGCCCGATGTGTTAAAACAAGACAGTCCCAGCCACAAGTGTCATAAGAACGGTTCGTGGAAGCCACAAAAGGTTCTTCGAACATTCTTTGGTAGGCCTATAGGCGAGCCAGGACGCTTCGCCACTGCTTGACGCGCGCCTCCAGCCACGAGGACCGCTGGCCCGGCTCGCCCCGCGGCGGCCCGCTGGCGCGCGCGGTCCCGGCCGCGCAGGCGTCCGCCTGCGCGGCCGCGAGCCGCGGAGGCTCGGGCGGGTGCCGCGGCGGGTCGCGGGCTGGGCGCGGCGGGGGCCGTGCGGCCGGGGGGCCCCAGCCGCGGGCTCCTGGCGGGAGCAGCGGCGCGCGGGGGGCCCCCAAGGCCCGGGCGTTGCAGCTGGTTCGCAGCGGGCGCTTTCTCGCCGAGTTTCGGGCATGCAGTGGAGGCCAGTCCACAGGAAGCCTTCCACAAGAAACCCAAGCCTGAGACCCCCAAACGGTCATTGATTTCTGGTGTGGGAGCGTCACGCTTTCCATATCAAAACCATCGAAACCCAAGAAACCCAGGGCACCCTGGAGGCAATCAGGGCGTTTCTTGGCCTGGGTTTCCACTGTGTTCGTGATCCCCTCTCGCTCTATGCGGGAGGCGGTCCCAGCCGCAGGCTCTTGCCGGGGCATGCGGTGCGCGGGGCGGGTGGAAGCTTCGAGTTCGAGATTAGAGCCTGAAGGTTTTTAGGCGTTTCGTTGGTCCTCGGCGGTTTCCCAGCCTCGGGATGCGTTCCAGCGGCTTCGCCTCGCCGAGGGCGTCCCGGGGGGGGCCTGGATCGTCCCGAACGGACGCCAGAAAGCGGAGGTATCACCCTAAAACCTTCAGGCGTCCGAGAGGGGGCGGACTTTCTCAGAAGCCCTCGCGCCTTCCAGCAAATTTTCTGAGCCTTCTCCGAAGGCGCAGAAAACTTATCAGAAGACCGCGGGTGCTTCTGAGAAGCCCCGCCGCCTTCTGAGAAGGCCTGCCCCCGCTCAATCCTGGGCGCGCCGCCGACTGAGACCCGGGCGTCACCTTCGCAACAAGTGATCTCGCCCGGTTTCGGGCCCTGGGGCCCTCACAGATCGATCCGGCTCGGACAAGAAAACAGGACAAAAATTAGGTCCAGGGCTTCTCAGAAGCCCGGGGGGCGGACCATACGGCAGAAAGATGCCATGGCGGCGCTCCTGGGGGGGGGAGCGAAAGGGGGCAGACCTTGTCGGGTGGCGGCGGGGACCTCGGGCACCCTGCGCTTGCTGAGAAGTGCTCTGTCGGGGATGGATAGAACCCCCCCGGGCGCGCCGCCGACCGAGACCTGCGCGCTGCAGCTGCTTCGCGGCGGGCGCTTTCGCTCGGCTTCGGCCCCCCAGCCCGAGAAGTGCAGGTTTCGCTCGGCTTCGCCCCCCCCCCGGGGGCCCCCACAGGTCCATCCAGCCCGAGAAAGGCAGCAGAACGACAAGGGTCTAGGGTCTGGGGCTCCGGCCGTGACTTTGTGTGACGTTGCAAAGTGTGGCAGCGTCGGATCTCAGGGCTGCGGGTGGTCGGGCGCATACCGATGTGGATCAGGGCTTCGTGGATCTGGCGCGCGGGCGCCGGATCCACGGATCGGGCAAGGTAAGCCCCAGAAGCATGGCGCCAATGCCGCCTGATTTGGCGACGGAGCGCGTCGATTCTGCATGGAAGCGCGACGCGTCGATAACGCACGCGCCGTAATCCATGTTTGCGCTTGCTTCCGTGGGGTGGGGAGGAGAGGTGGGGGGCGGCAATCCGCCGGCCACCCTGGTGTCCTCCTCCTCCTCCTCTTCCTCCTCCTCTCGTCCTTCACTCCTCCTCCCCATCCCCCTCCTCCTCCTCTGGGTTTCTGGCTTCGAGCATGAGGGAACTCCGAAGCGTGCGAAATCCATTATGCACGCGTATGCACCACATCACTCAGCGGGAAACCGCCTCGTGACGCTGCGCTGAGCAGGCCGTCGCACACCGAGCCCGCCACTCAGCGGTTCGAGTCGCCGGCACTATTGTCGCTGCCTCTCGACCCACACTTTCGGGCGCAGTCGTGCTGGCGGTCGACAATCTTGTATGGGTCCAGGGTGTATAGGAGCCTGGAGCCTGGAGCCCGAGGAGGAAACTTGACAAGTCGTACCACCAGCTCCAGCTCTCTGGGTCGCCCCTCCCACAAACACCTAAATACCAAGCAACCTGCACCATCCGCCACGGTGCCCCCTGGCACGTTGAGGCGTGGAAGAGTGCCAAGGTCTGTATGGTAGGGTTTGGGACATCTGATAAGGGACCGCCCCTCGCTCTACCAGCAGACTCCTCCTTCCTTTCCGAGGCCACTTCCCTCGTGCCCGCTCGAGGATGCTGCACTTCCCGCATGGGAGCTAATGCCTCAACCCCCCTTCCATGCGCACCTGCTCGAGGATGGTGCACTTCCGGCATGGCAGCTAATGCCTGAACTCTCATCCCATGCGCGCCCGCTAGAGGATTGTGCACTTCCCGCATGGCTGCTAACTCCTGGACCCCTCATAAGACGCGCACCCGCTCGAAGATCGTACCTCCCGCATTCCCAGGCGCTGCTCCCAAGCGCTCCAGGGCCTCCCACGCCACGATCCCGAGTTAAAGTCGATGGTTATGTGTCCCGAGCTTCCAAGACGGCCCGCGCAGGCCATCAAGGACACCCAGATGGCCCAAGATGCCTCGAAGACGGCCCAAGATGGCCCCAAGGCGGCCGAACATTGATTCAAGACGGCCGGCCGTCTTGGGGGTCTCTTGGGCCATCTTGGAGGCCTCTTGAGCCGTCTTGGCACCCTCTCAAGAAGTTTTGGGGCCCTATTGGAGGCCTCTTGGGCCGTTTTGTGGAGATCTGGGGCGCCTCTTGCGCAGTCTGGGAGCGTCGGGAAGCCGAAAAAGCGAGAACGCCCAATTCCTTCAAAAACCCCAGGTGGAATTCCTTGACTTGTGCCTCTTGGGAGCCTCTTGGCCTGCTTTTCCTGTTCCCATCGGCGGCTGCGGCGACGACGATGACGACGGCAGCGACGGCGGCGACGGGGGCGGCGACGGCGACGGCGGCGACGGCGGCGGCGGCGACGACGATGACGTCGTCGTCGTCGTCGTCGTCGTCGTCGTCGTCGTCGTCGGCGGCGGCGGCGGCGGCGTCGTCGTCGTCGTCGTTGTGGTCCTGCCGGCGGGGCCGCGCAGACGGCGCCCCTGGGCTCCACGGGCGGCAGGGGGCCGCTGCTGCCCCTCCCGGGCGGCGGAGGCCGCGGCTCCTGCGTCGGCGCCTCCGCTGGGGCCCGCCGCCGTCCGCCGCCGGCGCCGCCGCCGCCGCCGCAGCCGTCGCCGTTGCCGTCGCCGTGGCCGTCGCCGTCGCCGTCGCCGTCGTCGTCGCCGTCGCCGTCGCCGTCGTCGTTCGTCGTCGATATCGTCGTCGTCGTCGTCGTCGTCGTCGTCGTCGTCGTCGTCGTCATCGTCGTCGTCGTCGTCGATATCGTCGTCGTCGTCGTCGTCAGCGTCGTCGTCGTGATCGTCGTCCTCACCATCCTCATCATCTTCCTCCTCCTCCTCCTCCTCCTCATCGTCCTTCTCATCCTCCTCCTCCTCCTCATCATCATCAGCATGAACGTCATCAGTGTTAGCATCAGCGTCACCAATATCGACATTAACATCAACAGCATCACCATATACTCATCCTCACCCTCGTCGTCGTGGTCGTCGTGGTCGTGGTCGTCATCGTCGTCAGCATCAGCATCAGCATCAGCATCAGCATCAGCATCAGCATCAGCATCAGCATCAGCATCAGCATCGTTATCATCATCATCACCACCATCATCATCATCATCATCATCATCATCATCATCATCATCAGCATCATCATCTTCTTCATCGTCGTGGCCGTGGTAGTCGTGGTCGTCACGGTCGTCGTGGTCGTCGTCGTGGTCGTCGTGGTCGTCATAGTCGTCGTGGTCGTGGTCGTCGGTCGTGGTATTCGTCGCAGGCGTCGTCTCAGAAGACGTCGTCGTCGCCTGCGTCGTCGTCGACGTGGACGTCGGGGTCGTCGCCATCGTCGTTTCGTCGTCGTCGTCGTGGTCGTCGTGGTCGTCGTGGTCGTCGTCGTGGTCGTCGTCGTCGTGGTCGTCGTAGTCGTCGTCGTCGTCGTCGTCGTCGTGGTCGTGGTCGGTGTCGACGTGGTCGTGGTCGTGGTCGTCGTGGTCGTCGTCGTGGTCGTCGTGGACGTCATGGTCATCGTGGTCGTTGTCCACGTCGTCGTCGTCGTGGTCGTTGTTGTGGTCGTCGTCGTCGTGGTCGTCGTAGTCGTCGTGGTCAGCGTCGTGGTCGTCGTCGTCGTGGTCGTCGTAGTCGTCGCTGTCGTCGTGGTCGTCGTAGTCGTTGTGGTCGTCGACGCCGTCGTCGTCGTGGTCGTCGTGGTCGAGGAATTCGTGGTCGTCGTCGTCGTCGTGCCGGTGGTCGTCGTCGTTTTCGTCGTCGCCGTCAAACAAGTCGCCGTCGTCGTCATCATCGTCGTCGTGGTCGTCGTCGTCGTGGTCCTCGTCGTGGTCTTCGTGGTGGTGGTCGTCGTCGTGATCGTCGTCGTGATCGTCGTCGTCGTCGTGATCGTCGTCGACGTGGTCGTCGTGATGGTCGGCGTCGTAGTGGTGGTCGTCGCCGTGGTGGTCGTGGTGGTCGTGCTTATCGTGGTCGTCGTCGTGGTTGTTGTGGTCGTCGTGGTCGTGGTCGTAGTCGTCGGGGCCTCTCCGCGTGGGCTCTCGAGGCGTCCGCCGTGCGGTGACGTGCGTCTCGAGGGCCTTTTGTTCTGTTTGCGCTTCCGGGTGGCTTCTCGGAGGCCTCCTCTATTTCGGGGGGCGCCGACGTTTTCTCACAGCAGTGCGAAGACAAGCTCGGAGGCGCAATCGTGGAGACACTACCCATCGGTCGGAAGAAGTAAGTAGAAGCATGAAGTAGGAAGGCGTTGAAAGTAGATTGTGTTCCGCCCGCCCCCTAAAGAGGATGGAAAAGGTGAAGCCACTCGATCATTGAAGTAATACGGCGCTGAAAGTAGATTCGAATCTACACTCATCCCGTTCCTTCCTCATTACTCTTTGCTTCATGCCACCCTCTTCCCTTCCTCCACGTCAATGTCCCCGCCGCTCTTCCTCCCTCTTTCCAATATGTTACGGCATCCTTCCCTTCCACCTCGATCATCGTGATGGTTACCGTTGTCTTTCCGTTATCATATTTCCATGGCGTTTTCGATGGCACTGCGTCATTCATATCTGTCACGTGAATTGTGGAACGCGCCATCCCCCACGTAGCTTTCACAACACTGCGTGTTCATCGTCATGCTATCATCCACATGCAGCGGGCCCCCGGACATGGGCACTTGTTGCAGATAGGTTGGGTACGTCACAGGGTCAACACCCCAATCCTTGGGCGTAGAACGTCCCAGGGGCGCAGCCAGAAGCGGCGCGGAGGTGTTGAGATCGCCCTGGGCTACTCGGGGGGGGGTCTGCCGAGGCCAACCGGGGCTGCCTCGAGATGACCAGATGTCCGGGTCAGGAGATCATAAGCCAATCTCTGGACCTCTCCAGGGGTGCGCTTTGCTCCAAACCTCGAAGGCAATCTGGCCGTGGCCACGAAGGCTTCACAGGAGCCGAAAACGCCCGCAAACCTTGAGCCTCGATCCTGCGCCCAGGGGTAGGATGAAGTCGGGCGTGTCCCTCTACAGGCGGATTTTGGACGAAAAAATTTAAGTAGTAAAAAAAAAATATTAGCCTGGCGAAGAACCCAACCATATGCAGTTGTCAGTACCGCAGCTGCGGGTTTCATCTTCAGTGGAACTCCCCATAGGACAACGGAACGTGTGAGGGGTGTGCCGAGATGGGTGCCACTGGGGCATTCGGTGAAGCTCCCTATGGGGACATGAAACACGCGCGGGGCGTGCCGACATGGGTGGCGGAAGCGCATGTGAGGGCCGCCGCTGGGGCCTCCAGTGGAGCTCCCTTTGGGTCCCCGAAACATGATGCTGCTGCAGGGGGGGTGCCCGGATGGGTGGCGGAGACGCATGTAAGCGCCGCTACTGGGGCCTTCGGTGGAGCTTCCTATGGGGCCACGAAGCGCGTGAGGGGTGTACTGGGATGTGTGGCGGGAACGCATGTGGGCGCCGCCACTGGGGCCTTCGGTGCA